CACCCCCTCAGGGGGCAAGTCCAGGCCCAGCCAATGGGGGAGAAGCCAGACATGAAGCAGAGGGGAGAGAACAGTGATCCTGGCAGAGAACGTGCACAAGTGAGACGAACTGGGTGGCCCATGGGGGGCGGGGGGGGGGGGCGCGGAGAGCTGCAGTGGGAGAGGTGAGACTGGAGAAGATGGGCAGGTGGGGAGCAGATCACAGAGAAGTTCATAGGTTATGTTCCGAAAAGATCATTCTCATTACTGGAGGAGAATGGGCTCTACGCACTGGAGGACAGGGAGACCCTAACCCTAAAACCTAACCCTAACCCAACCATAACCCTAACCCCTAACCCTCTAACCTCTAACCCCTAACCCTTTGTCTTTAACTCTAACTTTAACCTTAACTCTTTATCCTTAATTTTGTTCCTTACCCTGAAAATATATCTATCCCTACCACTCTAGCCCCAATCTCTGGATAATCCTTTCTGTAGTGCCAGCCAATGCCCTTTAAACCACTAACACCGGGGGGCCTGGGTGGCTCAGTCATTAAGCGTCTGCCTTCGGCTCAGGTCATGATCCCAGGGTCCTGGGATCAAGCCCTGCATCAGGCTCCCTACTCGGCAGGAAGCCTGCTTCTCCCTTTCCCACTCCCCCTGCTTGTGTTCCTTCCCTCTCTGTCTCTCTCTGTCAAATAAATAAATAAAATCTTTAAAAATAAAAATAAATAAACTACTAACACCAACCTCAATTAAAACATCACAAAATCACCAAAATACATTCCTATATCTTTCATAAAACAGATGTATGAAACCTCATCAGAATAACTGCCATATGAAACCAAGAGGACATAAATGTGTTGTGCACCCTAAGCAAGTGTCTCTTAACCAAAACTTCAAAGGTTATTCAACATAGTGAATCCCAGCAATGTTATACACCACAATATTTTTTTTACATAAAAACATGTGATTATGTTTATTGATGCAAAAAAATTTGTAACCAAAATCCAATGTCAGTTCATGATTAAACACTCAAGAAAGTAGGAATAAAGGGTAATCTGTTCAATATACCTACAGCAAAGATCATGCTCAATTTTGAAGACTGACAACTCTACTCTGAAATCACAAACAAAGCCAGGATTCTGGCTTTCACCTCTTGCTCAATAATGTACTGAAAGTTCTACCCAGAAAAAAGAGGCAAGAAAAAAGGCATCCACATGTGAAAGGAAACAGTAGAACTATGTCTATTCAGAGACCAGAGATGATAACATCTTATATAGAAAGTTTCCTAAAGAATCAACAAAAAATTATTACAGCTAGTCACCTAATTCAACAAACTTATAGGGCAAAATATTAATACACAAAATCTCTCTTATCTGTATACATTAGCAATGAATCATCCAAAAAGGAATTTAAGAAAACAATTCCACTTTCGGTAACATCAACATTGACAAAATACCTAGGAATAAATGTAATTAAGGTGCAAGTCTTGTACCCTGAAAATTACAAAACATTACTGATTGAAATTAAAGAAAACCTAAATAACTGTGAAGACACCCCATGGTGAGGAAAAGACGTACCATTGACAAGGCGGCAACAGTACACAATGCAATGTGCAGATTCAATGTTGTTCCCAGGAAAATACACAGAGACCTCTGGTACACATAAGCTAATCCTAAAGTCGTATGGAAAATCAGGTACCACAAGATAGCCGAAACAATCTTGAAAAATAAAACCAAAGCTTGAGGGCGCCTGGGTGGCTCAGTTGGTTAAGCGACTGCCTTCGGCTCAGGTCGTGATCCTGGAGTCCCGGGATCGAGTCCCGCATCGGGCTCCCTGCTCGGCGGGGAGTCTGCTTCTTCCTCTCCTGCTCCCCCCTCTTGTACTCTCTCTCTCAAATAAATAAATAAAATCTTTAAAAAAAAAAAAAAAACAAAGCTTGAAGCTCATACTTTCTGATTTCAAATATTAATACAAAGCAACAGTAAATATTATGCTAAGTGAAATAAGTCAAGCAGAGAAAGACAATTATATGGTTTCACTTATACCACAGGGGAAGGGAGGGAAAACTGAATGGGAAGAAATCAGAGAGGGAGATAAACCATGAGAGACTCTGGACTCCAGGAAGCAAACTGAGGGTTACAGAAGGGAGGGGGGTGGGGAGATGGGGTAACCGGGTGATGGGTATTAAGAAGGGCACGAGTGGTGATGAGCACTGGGTGTTATATGCAACTGATGAATCGTTGAACACTACATCAAAAACTAATGATTACTATATGTTGGCTAATTGAACATGATAAAAAAAAAGCTACAGTAAATAAAACACTGTGATATTGTCATAAAGGTATGCACACAGATCAGTGGGATTTAATTGATAGCCCACAAATAAACCCCTTCGTCTATGGTCAATTGAATTTTGACAAGGGTAGACAATGTTACATTGAGGAGAGAATAGTCTTTTCAACCAAGGGTGCTAAACAATTGGTTATCCATGTGCAGAGGAATGAAAATGGACCCTTACCTCACACCACATATAAACATTAACTCAAAGTAAGTTAAAGGCTTAAATGTAAGAGGTAAAATTATAAACTCTAGAAGAAATAAATGGGAATAAATCTTCATGACCTTGGATTTAGCAATGCTCTTAGATATGACACCAAATCACAAGCGAGGAAAGAAAACATAGAGAAATTTAATTTCCTCGCAATTAGAAACCTTTGTGCATCAAAAAGACAGCCCACAGAATGGAAGAAAAATATTGCAAATTATTTAACTGGCAAGAGTCTGCTATCCAGAATATACAAAGTGCTACTACAACTCATCAGCAAAGGACAAAAATTTTTTTAACTGGACAAGGGACTTGGATAGACCCTTCTCCAGAAAAGACATTAAAAATGATCAAAACACATGAAAACATGTTAAATATGATTAGGCATTATGAAATGCAGATTTAAACTGCAGTGACATACCCTTTTACACTAGAATCACTATAATCAAGAAAACTGAAAATAACAAGTGTTGGTAAGGATGTTGAAAAACTGGAACCTTTAACCTTGCTTGGGAAATGTACAATGGTGGTGCAGTCTATGTGTAAAATACTTTCCATTTCCTCAAAAAGACAAAAATAGAATTGTCACACAGTTCAACCATTCTACTCCTGGATATATACCCCCAAAGAACTGAACACAGTTATTCAAAGAAAACCAACAACATGTACACAAATATTCAAAGCAGCATTTTTCACAATAACCAAAACCAGGTGTCCATCAACAAATGAATGGATACACAAAATGGGGTGGATCCATAAATGGCAATATTGTTGTACCATATAAAGGAATAAAGGAAAATGGTGCATCTGTGGAAAACAATATGGTGGCTCTTCAAAAAATTCAATACAGAATTCCGCTTCAACATATATACCCGAAAGAATCGAAAGAAAAGACTTGAGTGATATTCATGTGCCCTTATTCAGAACAGCATTTTTCAAAACAGCTAAAAGGAGGAAGCAACCCAAGTGTCCACTGACAGATGAATGGATAAACACAATGTGGTATATACACAATGGAACATGATTCAGCCTTAAAACAAGGGGAGTTCTGAGATTAAGAATTCCTCATATTGGGGCGCCTGAGTGGCTCAGTTGGTTGGGCGACTGCCTTCGGCTCGGGTCATGATCCTGGAGTCCCTGGATCGAGTCCCGCATCGGGCTCCCTGCTCAGTGGGGAGCCTGCTTCTGCCTCTGACCCTCCCCCCTCTCATGTGCTCTCTCTCTCTCATTCTCTCTGTCTCAAATAAATAAATAAAATCTTTAAAAAAAAAAAAAAAAGAATTCCTCATATCAGTGAGGTCATGTGATATATGTCTTTCTCTGATTGACTGACTTTGCTCAGCATAATACCCTCCAGTTCCAGGTTTACTTTGAAATCACCGCAGAATAAACTACTCTTCCAAACAACCATGTCAGCACCACTCAAGAGAAGCAGAGACGACATCAAACTGATGGAGGCCAAGCCCTCCCAGACCCAGTTCACCCACCGTGGAGAGGCCACTGGCCCTTGAAGGAGGCCACATGGTAGCAAGAGACTCGTGGGAGGATTAGGTCGGCGGCCACTGTGTCTTGGGTGCAGTAGAAGCAGTGGGATTTGGAATTCCAATTTTCCACAGTGCTCCACCAAAAACTGGTTAGAACGGTGAAAATGCACGAAGGGAAGCCTCAGGAAAGTGGACTGGGGACGCCAGAAGGGGAGGCTGGAGGGGGCGCCTGCCACTCAGGGTCAATTACAGGAACAACTGTCAGGTAGGGACCCAGGAATAGAACCCCCCACAGGAGAGACTCACCAGTCACAGGCCCCAGAGGGGAAGATGCAGGTTTCACCTCCTCCAAGAAACCCACCCTCCCTGCAGCTCAGCAGGTGACAACCCTCCATCACCTGAAGCCCTGCTTTTCTCCGGACTTTCCTTCAAAACGACCCTCCCGACTTCCCGCACCTTCTCCACGAAATACTGACCAGGTGACAGACCTGTTCTCTGACACCCGTGAGACTCTGATGACAGCCATCGAGGGAGACACACGGAGACGGGAAGACACCCCGTGCTCAGGGAAGGATGACACTGTGAAAATCCCTGCTCTGCCCAAAGCCGTGTGCAGAGTCCGCGCCGGCGCTACGGAACCTCCAGGACCGAACCAGCAGCCCCAAAGCGGGTGTGGACGCGGGGAGGACCCCGCAGGGCCGGGGCGGGGGAGCACGAGCACCGCGGGGGGCGGCCGCCCCCTGACCGCAGACTGCCGGAGGAGCCCCCGGAACCGAATCCGGGCGCGCGTAAACACAGACGCCGGACCCGCAGAGCAGATCCGAGCCCGGAAAGGGGAGACCCGACAGCCCGCGCAAGCGCCCCCGGGAACCCACGTCAGCGCACACAAGGCCCCGGAAACCCCACGGTCTGCACAGCGCGCCCTTTCTCCCCGGGATCCTGTGGGCACCGACCCCCTCAGCAGTTCCCGCTCAGGCGACTTCTCACCTTCTCCCACGTGCGGTCCCGAGGAGGCCGGGCTCCTGTCGGTGTGGATAAGGGCCTACGTCCTCCAAGCGCGTCCCGGCGGCGTGGCCGCGGCCCCGCGTCCTCCCCAATTCTCCGCGGCGGGTCCCGGCGGCGTGGCCGCGGCCCCATGTCCTCGGGTAATGTCCACAGAGCGTACTGAGGAGGCCGGGGTCCTGTGGCGTGGTCGCGGCACCATTTTCTCTCGGACTGTCCACACTGGGGGCGGCTCCAGTTCCGCAGGCAGACAAGGCAGGCTGAGCGCGCATGCCCTGCCCGGGTCAGGGAGCTGAGCTCGGGCGCCCCCTGCGGGCGGCGCAGGCCGTGCAGGAGGCCGTGCAGGAGGCGGGGCACTCAGTTCCCGAGACGCACCTGGCCCCTTCCCAGATCCAGCTGAACCCAATAAAACCTTGGAAATTTCCAACTGAAATGGACTACATTACCCCGGTTTCTCCAGGAATAATTAAGGAACAATGAATTGGAAACCATAAGATATGAAATGAAATGTAGACAAAACCTTTACAACTTCCACCAAAATTCACTCAAAATTGTACATAAATTTAAGAAACACAGCTATCAAAATATCAAAAAGAAAACATAAAAGAAAATCTACATGACCTTGAGTTTGCTGATGAGTGTTAACACACAACACCAAACACCGATCCAGAAAAGAAACAAATTGATAATGTGAACTTTATAAAGTTAAAACTTCTACTCTGTGAAAGACCTTGCTCGGAGAACTAAAAGACAATCCACAAACTGTGAGAAAATATTTGCAACACACACATCTGATAAAGGATCTGTATTCAAACTAGACAAAAAACTCTCAGAACTCAACAGTAAGAACACAAATAACCTAATTCACAATGGGCAAATATCTGCACAGACACCTGGCCAAAATGATGTACAGATAATAAATAAGCATACAAAAATACGCTCTACATCCTCTATCATTAGGAAGTTACCAATTTAAACAAAAGTGAGTTAGTGCAGCCCACCGATTAGAAATGCTAAAGTCCAGAAAATGAGGATACCAGTTGCTGAAGGGTGAGGAATGACAGGAACACTTCTTCATGCTGGGGATACACACTGTTTCCACACAAAAACTAGCATGCAATGATGCACAGTAGCTCTATTCATCATAGCTAAAAAATTGAAGAAATCAGGGTGTCCTTCAATAGATGAATCCATAAGCAAACTGTGGTGCCTCCAAGTGAACGGTGCCAGGAAGGCCCCACCAGTCTGCAAGAAGGGTGCGCATGGGGACTGCTGGGCCCCTGCACCTGGTCCTGTATAAATCCACATGTGTCTACTGAGTGCCCTCACAGGTCAGGGCTGTGCTGGCACCTGGAGCTGCCCAGGCAGAATGGAGCCAGCAGCACTCTTCCCTGGTGGGAAAGTGGAAAGAACAATACATGACCTCCGACACCCTCCACAACCCTTGACTGGGGTTGGGTTGGATTTGAAACAGTCGGTGACCAGGGAGACATTTCACTCTTCTATTAGAGCCCAGGACTGAAGGCAGAAAACCAATGCTTCAGCTCAATCCTGGACTCATGTGTAACCCTGGGCAAGTCCTGTCCACCCTGGAGGCCCAGGGAGATGGAGGAAGGGAAGAGGACCAGTTATGTTTAAACTTAACCCTGACCCTGACCCCAAACCCCTAACCCCAGACCCTGACCCTAAGCCCAAACCTGACTCGACACCTTATTACCTAACCATGTACCAGAACCATCTGATCTGCACTATTCTACTATGGCATAAGCTGAGCATGTAGCCCTTTGTAATAACGTGTAATTGTGACAAGCGGTCTTATTTTCTCTGCTCGTGGGAGATACCTAGTTCTTGGGTGTGGACCTTATGCCCCCTTCTTCTTTCAATCCTCAATTCAAACCTCAAGTCACTGATATGTTCAACAGTTCTCAGGACAATAATCTTCTAGGTGTTTTGAGATCTTGTTTATTTTTTAGTGTTCCTTCTTTATCTAAATGTAGGTAAAAAAATTATTGCAAATTTGATTTCTGAATTTATTTTCAAATATTAATAATTCTGTTTATTTTTAGAAACTCAGTATGACATAATTCTGACATACAAAAGTATAGAGCACAATTTAATAAACACACATATTTCATCACATCGCTTAGGGTTAGGGTTACCTTACACCAAAAGTAACCACTATCCTTTGGGGGGGTTTATGATTTCTGTAATTATATGACAAATACTGTTTCCTATGTTACAAAACATTCTACATTACATATGTGTTATTTATAAAATTTTAAAACATATACATGACATCATCATCTAAACCTTACATTTAATGTCTAAAATGTTTCATAAATTGACAATAACTTGATTATAGCTCTTTGGATTGTTAGTTCAATGGGGACTATAAATATAACTCATGTCGTTGATACGCGTATTATCTATATTCATACAAATGACTCCTTGGTGGGCGCCTGGGTGGCTCAGTTGGTTAAGCGACTGCCTTCGGCTCAGGTCATGATCCTGGAGTCCCGGGATCGAGTCCCGCATCGGGCTACCTGCTCAGCGGGGAGTCTGCTTCTCCCTCTGACCCTCACCCCTCTCATGCTCTCTCTCTCATTCTTTCTCTCAAATAAATAAATAAAATCTTTAAAAAAAATGACTCCTTGGTGTAGCAGAATGCTAAGAAGTGTTCCTATGAGCAGTGAATTTTCTTTAAGAAGAGAAAATTCTGATTCTTGTTTTCATGAAATTTATTCTGGAAATTCTATTTTCATTTTTAATTAGAAGGAAAGAACAGATGGTTGGGTAACATGATGAAAAAAAGTTACTAAATTTCTCCAGTTGCTGCTTTTTCTTACTTGTATAAAATAAATAAACACTAAGAAAGGTGTCGGTCCAGAAAAGAAGACAAAGCAGCTCACTAGTATGAGAATAGCTAACATGGGTAGCTTTGTTTTCAAGAGAGTGTGATGGAACCTGGATGGCACTGTGAGCATTCTGAGCTGTTTTGTGGTGTCCGTAAAGGATATTCACCATGTAGATACTATTACATGTCATCAGGAAGAGAAAGAACAAATCTTGAATGAATACTGTACTTAGAAATATTGGCACTATCTGGCTATCAAATGCCTTGTTTTTTGTTTTGTTTTTTTTTTAAGATTTTATTTATTTATTTGACAGAGAGAGACACAGCGAGAGAGGAAACACAAGCAGGGGGAGTGGGAGAGGGAGAAGCAGGCTTCCCGCTGAGCAGGGAGCCCGACGCGGGGCTTGATCCCAGGACCCTGGGATCATAACCTGAGCCGAAGGCAGACGCTTAACGACTGAGCCACCCAGGCGCCCCTCAAATGCCTTGTTTTTACAATAAGCACTATAACACCCAAGTCCATCACCAGTGGTATTCCTGTTGGCCACAGTTTGTAAAATGACCACAGAATAGAGGGCCATGTGGATCATCCAGAAGCAAAGTAAAGAGGGTTGAATGAATGCAGAGATTCTGTGTTTGAGACAGGCCCATTTAGGATTACTTTGGAGTAATAGTCACTGCCTGAAATGTACTCCGGAGGGCAGTTATGCAGAGAAATACTCCAGGTAACTCTCTGAATATAGATCACTATTCCACATCCAGTATCGCCCATCTCCAGCCTAATTCCAAAGGATGACATTATATTTGGAATCCCTCTGAATATGAATATCAGGGCATTAGCCAAAGTTAAGAGGGCAAGAATCACATCTACAGGCTTCTTCTTATGAGGATGAATTAAGAAGGTGTACATATATAATGTAAATAACAAAGAATTCCCCATGAAACCAATACAGGTTAGATCTCTTAGATCTTCTGAAGATCTCTCTTAGATCTTCAAACCGAGTCCAGTACATCCTATAAACAAATAATCTGATTATGAATGTAAATATTAAAGGTAATTGAGACTGAAGAGTAAGTTATCAAGTTTCAGGGAGTCTCCCTGCAGAATCAGCAAATATACGGCTATACCAGACCAAGGGATCATCGAGATTCCTAAAGAACAGAATTGTTAAGGAACAGAAGGCAATGGTTATGAAGACTGAGAATATCATGTGTTCTGTGAAAATTAATAAAAGTAAACTTTGTTTAAAAAGAAGTTGGTGGGGGGGAGCGCCTGGCTGGCTCAGTCGTTAAGCGTCTGCCTTCGGCTCAGGTCATGATCTCAGGAACCTGGGATGGAGCCCCACATCGGACTCCCTGTTCATCGGGGAGTCTGCTTCTCCCTCTACCTGCCGCTCCCCCTGCTTGTGCTCTTTCTCTCATTCTCCCTCTCGCAAATAAATAAATAAAATCTTTTAAAAAATAATTTAAAAAAGAAAGAACTGTTAAGGAACAGAATGCGATGTTTATGAAGACTGAGAACATCATGTGTCCTGTGAAAATTAATAAAAGTAAACTTTGTTTAAAATGAAATCAGGGGGCCAAACACCCTACCATTCTACATCAGTTACAGACCCAACAGGGAGAGACGTCTCTTACAACTTAATGCTACTTTAGCTACTCCTTTACTATCCCAGCAGGAGGAAGGTGGTCTCCTCCCGCCCAGGCAACAACAGCCCACCAATGAGAGACTATTTGGCCAATTCCGAAGACTATTTTTATATATTATGAGACACTTTTATTTCAAAAACTTTAGTTCTCAATAGATATATTTTAATATCCCTGTCTTTCTATGCACATTGAATGCCAGTAGCCTCTGCAATGATATCCTTCCCAAAGCTTATTGTATTACATAGCTCACTTTTACAAACTGTATTATTGTAGCATATATAAATATGTCACACAGATTCTGCTAAACAAAACCTATTTCACACTAATTATATTTTGTTACGTTTGCTGTGAGGTTGACTACTTTAAGAAACATTAAATCGGGCTCCCTGCTCGGCGGGAGTCTGCTTCTTCCTCTCCCACTCCCCCTGCTTGTGTTCCCTCTCTCACTGTGTCTCTCTCTGTCAAATAAATAAATAAAATCTTTTTTAAAAAAAGAAAGAAAAAGAAACATTAAGGTATACATGGTCAAATGCATAATATCAAAACCAACAGCCACGGGCGCCTGGGTGGCTTAGTTGGTTAAGCGACTGCTTTCGGCTCAGGTCATGATCCTGGAGTCCCTGGATCGAGTCCCGCATCAGGCTCCCTGCTCAGCAGGGAGCCTGCTTCTCCCAATGACCCTATGACCCTCCCCCCTCTCATGTGCTCTCTCTCTCTCATTCTCTCTGTCTCAAATAAATAAATAAAATCTAAAAAAAAAAAAAAAAACCAACAGCCAAGTTATAGATTACCTCCATCATATTCTAAATCTCTTACCTCCAGCAAGTGCACCCAGTGATCTGCTAGAACTGGAAAACTTGGAATTACCATAACCTCACTCCATATTCAGTTCACTTAGACTGACTGACATGTGTCTTATACTGCCTACCTATGTGTCCCATGACTCCCTTATCCCTCCATTTGAGTATTTCCTGAAATCACTGGTCAAGACTGGAGATGCCACAGACAGACCAAGAGGTAAGAAAAGGCTCTGGGGAGAGCAGGACAAGTCTCCAGAGATGATCCGAACACAGCTAAGAAATGAATGAATGTAAAGGAAATTGGCTGATTTCTTTTTTATTATTGTTATGGTTAGGGGTGTGGCTGGGGTGATATCAGGTTGATACATGCCAGCAGGGGGTTGCATGCTTTGAATCCCCTAATGGTGCCAAAGGAGGGAGAACTTGGGATTTCTTATCACTTTGCCCAGAGTTGAGGCACAGGGGGAAGAATGAGGAGGGAAGCCTGAAAGCTGACAGCAAACATAAAAAAAAAAGTCAGATTTATTATTACAACTATCCACCAATCAGGACAGCTACAATTTTACAAGTGACCACACCAAATGTTGGCAGAAAACTTACCACTCTTATGCATCTAGTTGTACTGTAAAATCTTACAATCACTCCTGTAAATGAGTTTGGCAGTTTCTTCAAAAAATACTTCACATACAATTACCACATAATTCAGCAGTAGCACTCCTGGGAATTTATCCCAGAGAAATGAAAAATTATTTTCACATAAAACCTGTATGCCACTGTAAATAGTGTTATCTACAATAGCCAAATTATGGAAACGGCCCAAGTGTCCATCAGCTGCTGAATGCATAAAGAAGATGTCATATATATATAACAGAATATTACTCAGCCATAAAAAGAACAAATTCTTGCCATTTGCAAGGACATGGATGGAGCTAGAGTATTATGTTAAGCGAAATAAGTCAGAGAAAGATAAATACCATATGATTTCACTCATATGTGGAATTTAAGAAATAAAACAAATGAGCAAAGAGAAAAAAGAGAGAGAGAGGCAAACCAAAAACAGACTGTTGGTTTTTTTTTTTTTAAAGATTTTTAGTTAATTTATTTGACAGAGAGAGAGACCCAGTGAGAGAGGGAACACAAGCAGGGGGAGTGGGAGAGGGAGAAGCAGGCTTCCCGCGGAGCAGGGAGCCCGATGCGGGGCTCGATCCCAGGACCCCGGGATCATGACCTGAGCCGAAGCAGATGCTTAACGACCGAGCCACCCAGGTGCCCCTTATTTTATTTTTGTAAAGATTTTATTTATTTATTTCACATAGAGACACAGCGAGAGAGGGAACACAAGCATGGGGAGTGGGAGGGGGAGAAGCAGGCTTTCTGCTGAGCAGGGAGCCCGATGCGGGGCTCGATCCTAGGACCCTGGGATCATGACCTGAGCGGAAGGCAGATGATGCTTAACGACTGAGCCACCCAGGCGCCCCAAGAAATAGACTGTTAACTATAGAGAACAAACTAATGATTACCAGAGGGGCAGTGGGTGGGGGATGGGTTAAATAGGTGATGGGGATTAAGTAGTGCACTTGTTGTGATGAGCACCAGGTGTTGTATGGAATTGTTCAGTCAGGACATCATACACCTGAAACTAATATTACGCTGTATGTTAACTAACTGAAATTTAAATTAAAACTTAAAAAAAACTAGACAACAAAAGAAAACTAGAGGCCTCTATTACATGAATACAGACACAGAAATCTCAAGCTAAATATTAGCAAGTTGAATCCAGCAATATATAATAAAGGGGGAAAGCCATCACAATGACATTGGGTTTACTCCTGGGATGAAAGTTTGGTCTACATTTGAAAATCAATCAAGGTAAACTACATACAAACAAAATAAGGAAAATTAAATGACTATCTCTATGGATGATGACAAAAATTGATGAAATTCAATGCCCATTCATGAGAAAAACTCTCAGTAAAACAGGAATAGAAGGTAAGTCCCTTAACTCAATAAAGGATCTCTGAGCCATCAAAAAAAATTTTTTTTTCAATGAAATCTTGCCATTTGCAGTGACGTGGATGGAACTGGAGGGTATTATGCTAAGTGAAATAAGTCAATCAGAGAAAGACAATTATATGATTTCACTCATATGTGGAATTTAAGAACAAAACAGAGGATTATAGGGGAAGAGAGGAAAAAAATAAAACAAGACAAAATCAGAGAAGGAGACAAACCATGAGAGACTCTTAATCAAAGGAAACTAACTGAGGGTTGCTGGAGGGGAGGAGGATGGGGGGATGGGGGGATGGGGGGATGGGGGGATGGAGGATGGGGGGATGGGGGGGTGGGGGATGGGGTAACTGGGTGGTGGACATTAAGGAGGGTATGTGATGTAATGAGCACTGGCTGTTATAGAAGACTGATGAATCACTGACCTCTACCTCTGAAACCAATAATACATTATATGATAATTAATTGAATTTAAAAATAGTAATAATAACAATGAAGAGATATATATGTTCAACTAAAAAAAGGATATCTAAGAAAGCATACAGCTAACATCATACTTAATGATACTGGACGTTTCCTCCTACTATGATTTTTTTAAATACCAACTAAACTTTTCATTTTGAGATAACTGTATATTCCCAGATAGTTATAAGAAATAATACAGAGAGATCCCATGTGCCCCGTACCCAATTTCCCCGGTGACATCTTGCAAAAATATAGTATAATATCACAAGCGGGATGTTGACATTGATACAAAGTACAGACCATTTAATTAAAGCAAGGATGCCTCATATTGCCCTTTATAGACACACCCTCTCCCCTTTCACCCCTTCTCCCCGCTTAACCCCTAACAGCCACTAGTCTCTTCTCCATTTCTGTATTTTGTCATTGCAAGAATGTAACATAAATCCAATCAGGGTATGTAACCTTTTGGGATTGGCTTTCTCCACTCAAAATAATTCCCTGGATTCATAGAATTTGTTGAGTGTGCCAATACTTTCTCTTTTACTTGCAGAAAATATTCCATTATATGGATGTACTCAAGTTTGTTTAAGCTATTCATCTATTGAAAGATATCTGTGTTGTTTCCAGTTTTGGGCTATTATGAAGGACCCTGCTATTAGTATTAGGCTACAGGTTTGATTTTTCCTTTTTTATTTTGCTTCTACACATAAGTTTATTATTCCTTTTTAAAGTTTTTATTTAAATTTAGTAAGTTAACATGCAGTATAATATTAGTTTCAGGTGTACAATATAGTGATTTAACACTTCCATACAACACCTGGTGATCATCACAAGTGCCTTCCCTAATCCCCATCACCTACTTCACCCATCCCCCGACCCACCGCCCCTCTGGGAGCCACCAGTTTGCTAACAGAGGACACTCACCATGAGGAGTACTGAGTAATGATGTACAGAATTGCTGAATCACTACATTGTACACCTGAGGCTAATATAACACTAAATATGAACTACACAACTATACTGGAATTAAAATTAAAAACTTAATTTAAAAAAAGTGTTTCTA